CACCTCTCAACTCATCGTCCAACTTATGTTCCATCTATTACATCTACCCATGTTTTACCCCAACATTTTTGTAGATATAAAATACATATACAGTTTAAATCCTTTAAAACATGTATAAAATCGTTCAACTAGCATAGACAACAAGTACTCAAATAATACGCACACATAACACATAATTTATATAGAATACTTCATATCTATGTGTAAGATGAAAATGGCCATTCACTCACTTGAAAATGTGGTGATTCCGAACTCAGACAGCGCTTCGCTTCTTAAAAAAAATAATTTCCTTCGACGAAACCTAGTATTATTACAAGTCGAGTTTAGTCTATTATTCGCCGAGACTAATTAATAGTCTAGCTATTATTACTATTATATAAGCGTTAAATAACACTCAATATAACTCATAATAATAGCCAAAATAATTATTTTAAGGTCCTAACAATGTTACTATAATTAATTAAAAGCTATATTAAATATAGTATAGGCATAGCTCACTTACAGCGAGTTTTTATTAAAAACCGGGCTTCGCTGGAGCAGCGTTTCCGAGCCGAAAACTTTTCTTCTCGGAGCTGTCGGGCGCTCCAGGGCTTTCTTCTCGTGCTAGGGAGGTTCCCTAGACTTGGGAGGGGTTTAGGAAGGTTAGAGAGAAGTTAGAGAGAGAAAGTAATGCTTATGGTATGAAGAAATAATGAAGGGTTCACCCTTTATTTATAGGGATTTTATAGTAAAGTAGCCGCTAAGTTTCGTCCGTATCTTCCGCGTACGAGCTCCGTTTTCTACGTTATTTATATCCACGCGTTGGTATTTACGAGGAATACAACTTTCATTTAGACCTCGTCAGCTAATTCTCCTTCTATCTCAGATTTACAAAAACTGTATCATATTTATCGCGCTCGAAGAGTAGCAACTAAGCTTCGTCCATATCTTTCGCATACGAGCTCCGTTTCTGACTTTATTTATATCCACACGTTGGTATTTACGAGTAATACAACTTTCATTTATTTATAAAACTGTATCGAATTTATCGCGCTCGAAGAGTAGCGACTACGTTTCGTCCATAACTTTCGCATACGAGCTCTGTTTTTTTACTGTCTTTTTATCGTTTAACTCCTATTAATGATATCTTCATTTCTCGTTTAGATTATTTTGGCTGAAAATCGTCCGATTTGAAATTTGAAATTTCGGGCTGTGCACTACTATGTTAAATCTTAGAAAAATCATAACTTCCTCACACGAAGTCAGATTTGGGTGTTCTTTTTATGGACGATCATGGTTTAATGTATTCTACGACTTTCGTTTAGATTTCTAAGTCTATATCCTGCTCTATCGTAAATTCACTATTTACGCTTCTCGGTATCGTGCCGGTTCCGTCGCGAAACTTCGACGGGTCATAACTTCTTCGTTATAACTCGAATTTCGGCGTTCTTTATATGGACATAAACTTTGTAACATATACTACAACTTGGTTAAGATTATTCATTCTAAATAATCTTTTATCGAAAAGTCGTTTTCGACCCCTATTATTTTTAAATTGACTAGCCCGGATCTACGGGCGTTACAGAATAGTAACCATATCCCATCGTATAGAAGCTCTTTTTTGTATTATACATGTCAACAATATAGTATTCATTATGTTAATGCTTGAAATTTTGTTTAGGCGTCTACATATTTAAATCAATATTCAAAATCAAATCATGCACAATCTTTGGATAAATGAAAAATAGATTGTACCTTGCGGTTCGTGACGCTAACACGTGAGTTGTGGTATGTGGTCCATCAATATAACATGATGTATATAGGACGCAACAAATGAAATAAATAACTAAAATTAGAAGATATAAAACATATGTGAAAAATAAACTTACAAATGATATCTAAATGGTTTGTAAACCACACACAGGACGGAATCCCTGATGATTTACAAATGATATCTGATATCACTTAAATAGGACAGAATCCTTGATGATTTACTTCCACTCAACTGCATGATCATTAGCATTGTTACATTTCAAGAACTAGTTTATAGCAGTTGGTTAAAGTCCTAAAATAGGACAATGATAGGTAAGTGTGTTTTGAATTTTTTTCACCAATTTGCATAATTCTAGTTAACTCTTATTTTGGATAAAATGATCAGCACACATTTACATATCATTGTTATATTTTAGGAATTTAAACAACCATTATAAAAGCAAGTCTTGAATGTAACAATATAATGTTCAAACATTTAAGTAGATGTAAACATATGTGATTGTAGCATACTTATTAAGTCATAAATTGGAATGATTAAAGACTAGTCAAGTGCCATATGTATCTTTTTTTACATGTATGCTTTTGTACTTTCTAATTTTAACTAATTAACGCATCAGAAGTAGTTACTACCACATGTTATGAGGATAGACTTGGGTATGATCGTGCTCTTGTGTTGGAGTAATGGTGGAAATGCATGATTTATTTTTCAATTGTTCAATGTTGTGAATTGTTTAATTTTAAATATTGATTTAAATATGTAGGCTTCAAAATTTATTGAGAATGCTACACACATTCAATTGTGACTTTTAACTTGAAAATAAGTTATTGGTAGACACTGCTACTAAAAGTCAAGCAGACACTAACATAATGAAAATTATATTCATGATAAAATATCAGTTTCGGAGACAATTTGATAATTCCAAAACACATAAAGAAATGAGAATGGTCTTATATAGAGTTATGGGTCATGAATCAGACATGTTTAGGTGGAGGCCAATGTAGAAATATTCTCTAAGCAATATTGGTATATTAATTGATCTTACTAAAATGAAAGAAACAACCAAAACTTGTATTGGGAAGATAACTAATCACCATATCATTACACTACTTGGTTACCGCTTGATGTAGAAAGGCAAGTTACTAATGATGTCCAGTTACAACAATCAATTATGGATTAAACAACAAGGATGACGTTCTCATTGTAGTTATGGATCTTGGTTGTGGAACTTTAATGTTTCCATATTAAAGATATTTGATTATTTATGTATGATACGTTGTTGTATTGTTTATGTTTTTTGTTTCCTGTTAATTAGATATAGTGAAAAAAAAAAGTAACCAAAATTGTAGAGTATGTTGTGTTGAGCAAATTTCTTTTGTAGGAAACACCATCACTTTCTATTAAGACAACTCAAGAAGAAAATACCAAATATTTAAAGATTCACACTACTTTGGTTTCTTGGATACTTAGAGCGAATGAGTCCCCCTTCTATTTATAGGTGCCTTTGACGTCTTCATGTGAATGTTCTTGAGTTTTGGTACATACGATGAGTTTTCTAGTATACTCTACCATGCTTTATAAGTAATTAGAAGGCCACACATGTTTCTAAGGAAGCATAGAGCATTTACCATGTCTTAGAAAGTTTATAAGACATGTCAAAGTCGTCCATAGTCTTTTAGAACGTTTCATGATCTTTTAGGGTCTTTGATGTTTTAGAATCTCTCAATGGCTTCCAAGACATTCTAAAATTTTTCATAATATTATAGAATATTTCTAACATCTTATAGATAACAGACTTCTACTCAAAATTGTTGGACTAAATTCCATTGGGTTAATGATGATCTTTCAACATGTTTCTTTGGTAAGAACTAATGTTATATAAATACTCTAGCTCTAAGTGAACAAAATTGAACGTAAAGCTAAGCATGATACAATTTTAGTTGAAGAACAAAATCAAAACCTCCTAAACAAGGCAAATGGTGTTGTGATAAAGTGACAATGTGGTGGTGGTATGCACACCACCTCGGTCTTGATGCGGGCAACATCACACAATGTGGGGTGCACCACATGACCCCACACCTTTTTTTTGCCCATTTATGTTTTTTTTTTCTATCTAAGTCTCTCTTTTAACATTTAATTAATTAAAAAAATATTTTTTTGATTAAATAATTACTAAATAAGAGGTTAGAATGATGTGGGCATATTTTATGGTAATGTGATAATGATATAACACTAGGATGATAATATTATTATTGTAGTGGTACTGTCAGTTGTGAGTATACATGATGCGTGATGGCACTAACTTTCACAAAAATTGTTATGAAAATCTTGAATGTTGGAATTTGGAACGTTACAAGAAAAGAAAGGGAGCTGTTATTAATACCCTTGATTATATCTTCATACCCCCATAATCATAACTTTTTAGGTAGTTGATTTTTTGAATTGCAGCTTTTTTAGAATTTCACAGTCATTAACCAATACATATGCATTCTTTACAACCCACTGTGTAATTTAAGCTTTTTTATGGAAGACTACAACTTCATCTTTTTTATCATCTTTTTTATTGAAGACTACAACTTCATCTTTGAAAAGCGTGTTCAATATTTCGTAAATTAAAACAATTTATATACTGCAACCAACAACAACCAACAATTACATAGTAAATTGAAGATCATTTTTCCACTTAATTAAACAATAATACACGATACATGTATATAAACAAGTCCAATAAAAATGATTAAGTAATAATCCTAACTAATAAACAAATCTGTTAAAATCTAATAGCTTCCCGGAAACATTATCTTCAACCACTGCCACCGCTGGCGATATATTGCCACCATTAACCGTGCTGGCGTCGCCAGAGAAGAGGGGAGGAACGTGAAAAAGAAAATAGCGACCAAAAAGAACGAGAAATCTAAAACGTCACCGGAAATCGTCGCCTAAAGCGTGATAAATCGCCGGAAATAGTCTGAAACGTCACCAGGACCACCTGAAGTCGACGGAATCGCTGCCTCCCTCTCACCTGGTGGATGAATCATCACCTGAACGACCGCCATCACCGTCACGTATCTCTCATCTAGAGGCTGAATTGTCACCTGAAACCTTGCCATCATCGTCGGAAAAAGAACAAAAGAAGGAGATGCTAAAAAAAAACTCATCGGACATTATATGATATCACTGGAAATCGCCAAAAGTCACTTTTTGGTTGCTTCTCTCAAT